GAATGCTAACACATTTCGTTCAGCTTAAAATCGAAAAACTATTAATAAATGAAATTCAAATTCAAGTAATATTAGTAACTAAATTTCTACAGTTAATTGAAATGTAAATCCAATTTGATTTGGAGAATTTGATGATAGATGCCAAATGAATTTTCATAAATTTGTTCTCGGGTCGAATTTCTTGATAAAAATTGGATGTTAGTAGAAAGTATTTTACAAATGGGCCTTTTGAATTCATGGATGACAAAATTTGACACAAATAGCATTACATTAACCAGAAATTGTTTATGGTGTCCCCTTTTTCTTGACCAAGGTTTGATCATAAAATTGTCTTCAATACCCTTGAAAGTCATGCCATTGAAATATCCAAAGTACCTTTTCTTTTAAGCTGGAAGATTGAGAATTTCGAATGTTATCTCGAACTTTTCAAATGTTGAAGATTGATCACAAAACTTGTAAAATCGTCCGATTGACACTTTCAAAGCTTCCAATCCAGTCGTAGTTTCCGTGCTCTCTAATTCCACCGTTATTGCTCAATTAAGCTCTCATTGATCTCCTCCTATCTTTTTTTTCCAGTTCACCTCCAACTTAGGATTTTTACCTACGAACACAATATATATACAAATATGAATAGAAAACTGTGACATTTAATTAATAATGCACAAATTTAAAAGGCCAAAAAAGAGTGAAGAAACACACTGGTCACCACACTTTTATAAATAAGTGAATTGGTCCATGACATTTTAGTAGAGTGGTAGGCTTAAATACACCAATGTCCATTATAATTTTCATACTATTTATCGTTGGCTATTGAACTTTAAAACGTCTCTAACTAGTTATTGAACCTACCATTAAAAAATGTGTAATGCTACATGTACATAATCATTCACATAATAGTTCACATAATTACATGTGGCATGTGATCCAACATTTAATTCAAATTTCACATTTACACATCAACAAGTAGATGATTGTCGCGTCAGTATTATGTGAACCATTATGTGAATGGTTATGTAAACCTAGCATTATTCTTAAAAAATAAATGGTATAGATGACGTGGAGAAATGAATTTCACACATGGCACTTTTTATCGTTAGCGTTGCCATGTCACAAAGTTTAGTGAGAAACTACAACGATCAATGGAATATTTATCGCATTACTTTTAACTCTCTTAATTTTATCTTATGTCTTCAAATACTTTAATCAAAAGAGATATTAGTAACGTACTGATGAAAAACGATAACACATTGTTTGGCCAACATTTTGGAAAATTTATAAATTTTGGAATAGTGATTAATGGAAGAATGTGTGGTTGAAAAAAAAATTATATTTGTGTGTAATATTATTTTATTTGGAAAATATATTATTAAAATTAAGAAAGAGAAAATTTTAAAAAAATTTAATGGGGGCAAACAAGGGCTAAATCTTATGAATCTTGACAAATTCAATTATTGAAGTACGTAGTGATCAATTAAGAATCTTGACTTCAGTTGAGAGGATCGATAATCTTGAAATGAATCGTAAAAAACAAAAACGAGGACTTCGATGGTTTCACAGTAAAAATAGAACTTTTTTTAATTTGTTAACTCAAGTAATGAAAATAATAATAATGATATCGATATATAGATATGATTTGCATAAAAAGTCATTCGAATCTTTGTTTAATCTAGAGTCGTCCTCATAACAAAACGTTCACGTTATATTTTTAATTATAGTTCAAGTTAAGAAACAAAATCTAACTCCATAAAGTTTGATATTCAAGCATCACTTGAACAAAACGATCACTTTCATTAGTGTTCATATTCTCTCTTTGCAGCAGTTTGGCTTCTGCAACAAATCCTCCAGTTCTTAATGGCAATTGTAATATTTTCTTATTTTTTTCAATTTCAGTTTCTTTTATTGCATTTGGGGATGTTTGATAAGTGAGATATAATAGTGCTAGACAATATTATTTTATGAGGAAGATGTTGGGAAAATTTTAACATATTTGGGGCCACACGTAATATATTAAAATGTGTGGTGCTATTATTTAAACAAAATTAGTCAATTAAAGTGATCCACTAAAGATGAATTTTGACTAATGAGTATTAGTTTTCATGGAATTAAAGTGTAGAGACCGGATGTTTGTTTGAGATTGATGAAGGAGCCAATTTGAAACAAATTAAAGATAATGACCATTCATTATCTTTTTGTTATATG